ACATATCGCACAACGGAGTATTATCATACCAATAATTTGGAAATTTGTATCCTTCATATAGCACAGGGCAGAATCTTAGATATATGAGTTAACATCCAGACTAAGGTACGTGCCAGATAGGTATCTTGTACACCAATCTCCGTGGTAGGTGTACAGATCCGTCCAGTCCCATACCCAAACTTACCTACATACACCTACAACTACAACCACGACCACGACCACCGCCTAATACTTCTTCTATCCTACCACTTACCTCCCAAGCCCTCTTCAATCTCCCCAAAAACACCCAACCCCCTAATCCCCAGCGCGGTCCCGACGCCCACAGCAGCAGCGCCAACACTTCTCATACGTCTATACCCCTCCGCATCCGCGACCCCGCCGATCCCAAGGACCACAACATGTCTGGTCGCGGGGTCCGCGTCCAGCATCCGCCGGAGCGTCGCCACGTTCCCCAGCGCGAGCGGGTGCAGCGGCGCCCCGGCGAGGCCGCCTATCCCTAGACCCGGGAGGACCGGGATGGATAACGTACTCTCAGTCTCAGCCCCAGTCCCCCCCGTAGTAGCGGCAGCAGCAGCAGTAGTAGTACTTTCAGTTCCCCCAAGCAACAGGCACGAGCCGAGGGTATTCGTCGCCGTGACGAAGGTAAGTGGACATATCGGGCGCAGCCCATCATCTCCCTCCCGATCCCTATCTCTCTCCTTATTCCCCGGGAAAGCCACAGCGCAATCCCGCAGCGCAGAGACAAACATATCAAACTGTCCAGCATGCGTATACGGCGGCGTTTTCACGCCCCAAGGGATCGCGCGACCTCTCCCCTTCCCCTTCTCTTCCCCCTCCCCATCCTCCCCCATAACCTCCGCCACAACCCCCGCAACCCGCCTCACATACCCCCTGAGCGCCTCGCCATCATACGCAGGCGGCGGTTTGCCAGGTATATTCGGGCACGAGAGGTTTACCTCCATCGCAAGCGGAACACCTACATCCCTCGCGGTCCGTGCGACGCGGCGGTAGCACTCGGCCACCTCGTCGGGGGAGCTAGTGACAGATACAATAAAAGGCTTCTTCTTCTTCTTCTCCTTCTTCGTGCCCTCTTCCTCATGAATCCGCCGTATGAAGCCCAAATACCCATCTAGCGGTATCGGGCTGTAGCCGAGGGTATTCAGGCTCGCATCCCCCTTAGCCCCTGCGACCCGATGCGTGCCCGCCTCGAAGATCGCATAGCGATGCACGTCGTCATCATGCGGGAATCCATCTAGGAGCGCCGTGCGTGTCGTTACCGCGCCCGTGGCGGGGTAGTGGTATAGGTCCCGGAGTTGCTCCAGCGTTGTGGCCCAGGGGTTGGCCGAGTTGAAGAGCGGGGGGTCTATGTGCAGGCTTGGTGGGAGATGATCATCCTCCATATCTGATTGATTGACTGTTCTTTCTGTTCTTTCTCAATCGCTCTAGCGTGAGGTTTTACGGATACCAATAGCATAGGGAAGAATACTAGCAGCGGCTTGAGAATAATCGTTCTTTGGGGTGAGTTACTAGATACCAAGGTAGGTGGTTACGTAGATAAGAAACATGATGCTTGCCTATTATATATCTAAGTATGTAGGTTATACCTATGTTCTTGGCACTTGATGCCCGTTACCGTTGGTTAACAAGCGGGGAGCTAAAGATAAGATAACAATGGGACGGTTGATAATGTCGGCGCGCAAGCTAAAGTTGTGTAAGACGAAGCTTCTACGTCCCGTCTCCCACAAATTGAACACTGCTGTTTCCGTCTAGGCTAAGCAGTCGCTGTAATGATTTGAGGGCGTCTGGGGTTTGTGCGATATTTCATGTGAATTGCTTCAGGTGGAACAGTATTGGATTCTGATTCTTGGGCTACCACTGTAAGCACGATTACCCTCAGTTTAAGCCTGCATGCGCCAAACACCTCAATATGATAAATAATGTCACAAACACGCTCTTGCGTTCAGGGCTCTTAAATGAAGAGATCAAGTGAATATTGATTCATCCTCGGATTGATATTATGTGCCCCGGCGACCACCAGTGCTCATTAGTGTGATTTTCTGCTTCTTTTTCTTCTTACCGCCAGGAGCCCCTGTCGGAGTGCCTGAGCCTGACGCCGAGGAAACGCCATCTAGACCAAAGGCTTCCATCTGCATAGCGATTTCGGCTGCTCCAAGGAAATCGTCGTCCTTGAGCCACCCATCGTTTGCCGGACGCTCTGGAACCGGTTTAAGGTTAGGCGAGACCGGAATGGCTGGTGTACCCCACACCGTCCTCGAGGTTGTTGGGCTCGTAGACATGTTAGCAAGCTGTTCAAAACCCGGTCGCGGGTTGGGTGGTGATGTCCCGGCTGGTGGACCTAACGGTTGGAAGTCCTCTGAGTTCATCACAGGAGTGGGTTCAAAGCCGTCTCCATTGAGGTTATCAAAATGGCGTCGGGTGCTCCGACCGATCGCCGCGGCCTCCAAGCGCTCGGCTTGTATTCGTTCCCGCTCCTCTTGTGCTGCTTTGTCTCGGTGTAATTTTCTTCGTCGTTCTAAATCGTTGGAGAAGGTCTCGAGTATATCGGAAGGCACTATGTCTGTCCAGTCGCATTCTAAAAAGCTCACAACACATCCCTGAGGAAGATGTGCTAAATATTTTGCCCGTTTCCGCAGGGCGTCGTCTACTACGTGGCCGGTCGATATATGCTCTACCCGGGGAAGTAGCGTCGATGGGAAATTCGAGAAGTCACCGAACTTTGTCTTAAGGATCCGAATATCGAGGGGCGATAGGTATAGGTGCGGTGGCGCTTCATAGAAATGGAATTTCTGTTTGGCAGGCTGTTTGGATTTTAACGTTGCCGAAACAGGTACTGATTCTACCTCCTGCTTCTGATCTTTCATCTTTTCCTTGGCCGTGTTAATTGCCCGTATAGCCCGGTGTGGCCAATCGCCTTCCTCAATGCCATACTGCAACTCGTCTTCCAGGGCTTGTCTCTGTAGATCCTCCATCTCGCGTTCGAACTGTTTGATGACGTATTCGTTGGTCCCCTTCATGATCCGAGCATAATCCATAACGCTGGCGGCAAAATGCCATGGGATATCCTCACCCAAGTTCGCAACGTCACTTCCCCCTTCGTCTGGTAGCGCTAATATAGACCCGGCTTCGCGTACCATCAATCGCAGTACAACATCTTCCCCAACACCGGGTAGGGGGTTTTCTTGGCCCTCATAGAAACGAACTGGCCGAACTTCGGAGAGCCGGAACGTGTCATCGCAGATAGGGCACTTCTTCCAGCGCGCCTCTTTCCTGGGACTAGGCTCGTCATCATTCGTCGAGCTCATAAATCTCAAAAGACAGGGAAGACAGAAAATGTGGCCGCAGCGGGCCATGCGAGGGGCCACGGGGTCGCAGAAGCATATGGGACAGGACGTCGTCTGGGATTTGGAAGAGGCGATGATCTGGAGCACGTCGGACCAGTCGAGGTGCTTGTCGGCATCGACAGCCTGGGAGCTGTAATTGCCCGTCGGCGAGACTACGAAGCGGTAATTGGCATGGACAAACCTGACCACGCCGCCTTAGCATTACATTGAGAGAGAGAGAGAGAGAGAGAGAGAGAGAGATTCAAGGGGTCGTGATTGTTACTAACCTGGCCTTATCCACAGCATGATAGCCGGAGCCAGCGCTCCATGTAGGATGACGGCGGGCTGCTCTGTGGTGGTCCTGGTAGTGACGAGAGGGAGTGGAGTAGTTCAGAAGGTGCGTGATGGACGTCTGCCCACGGCGACTCGAGGCATTCCGGACGGCTCTCTGTCTCGTTGTGATTAGTCATTCCCTTCAACAACGGGTGTAGCGAAGCAGTGGCCGTGTGACCGTGTGTCGGCTTACGATCTCTGCCATGGCGTCGTCATCATCTGGGTTCTGTGGCCTCCGCTGATTCCGGTGCTGTTTCTTGGACGCTTGTCCTTTTCTCGGGGCAGCTGAGCTCGGGAAGGACGGACTCGACAGACCCGACAGACCGGAGCGCCGCGGGCCGGACTCGAAGCTGGACTGTGGATGTGGAGCAGATATCTGCTGGGGAGAAGAGCTGTACGATGCCGGAGTCGAAAGGGATTTGGCTCCCAGATTGCTCGAACCAACAGAGCTCATAGTGGTGACGTGCCGAGCACGACCGGCAAGTAGACTAGGATGACTCGAACAGCGCGGCAACACGTTGAGACGAGGTGGTTGTCGTGGTTGTCGTCGCCGTTGCCGGGACACGGATGGACATGAATTCTATAGACTACTGTCGCGATGGGCAGATAGGCATAAAGGTAGATGATGGTTCGAGGTACATGCGAAAGAGAAGGGGCCTCAGCAGACGGACCCCAGAGACGGTACGGACCCGAGGAGTCACGACTCGGCGGGGCCAAGGGTTGCAAGGTTACCGTAGGACGGTAGGTACTGTATGTAGGACGGGACGGGTGGGTTGACATGATGATGGAGGCCAGGCCAGCTCTCGAACTCCCCCATTCGGCGCCACAATCTGGGTGGGACCCCAATCCACCCACCATCCACACTAGGTACCTACCTAAGGTAGTATGTAGATAGGTACATGTAGTTAGTCCACTTACTGTACCTGCCTTTTGTATGTATAGGTAAGGCAAGTTACATACAAGATTAGGCAATTCATACTACTTTTATTGCTAGGTATCTAGTGGTGTCATTTATGTTTTAGGATTGTTTATGCTCGCTGTCACAACCTCCTGTCTACTTGTATAGGTAAAGCCGGTGTACTTAACCTACTCAGGTACAGTACCTAACTCAAGCGCAGCAGCTACTACCTAACATTAAACATTTCCGGTTAGTTTAGTAACGCCTCTCGGAGGGGTAAGTGCACTCCGCCAACCACCCGCCAAACACTGGTAACAAGACGGCGCGGGACAAGTTGAGTTGCACAGTTTTATCCTCGGCAAACTCCAGCAAACTCCATTCACACGCACACTACTATTTAGATATCAATACTATTCCCACTAACCAATGGCAACGTGGCTGAGTGGTTAAAGCGTATGACTAGAAATCATATCCCTTCGGGGTCACAGGTTCGAGTCCTGTCGTTGTCGGAAATCTTAAGTTTTGTAGCATTCCTTTTTTTCCCTTTCTTTTATATAAAAAAACTTTCTCTCTCCTTCTCCCTCTCTTTTTTCTCTTAACACACACCGTTGAATGATAGATTATTATTTTTTGTAGTAGATTATAAATAAACACACTCGTTATAATTACTCTAATTCTTAAAACAGAGCTGCGTATCTTTTTGCCAGTGGTTTCACATTAGGTGTCCAGGTTGTTTAAAACACAAACATATCATACGATCATGATGAATACAGTCGTCTTCACACGTATCACATTAACACAATATCCTTAGCTATCTACCTATCCGCAGGCAATCATAGACAGACCATAAAGCTAAGTTTATAATTGTTGACAAAGGACTCAAGGGCACCAAATACATCCGACCACACATTATTTCAACCGGAGGTAAAAGTAACACAACGATCACGGAAACATCAATTTGCTTATATAGTGTGGGGTATGGCCACGTAAGAATATTTTTTTGGGGCGAGATGGGTCCAAGCAAGCTTGTATCAATACATGTTTTATGTATGTACACCAGATGCCTGAAGTGCGCGATGCCGATCCGCCGTCGTCATCTACTAGGGCGCGAGACGCATTGGGGGAATCATAGCTTTAAAGGAAATCAACTTGACCAAAACAACCGGGAACACGGACATGAAAGCAATCGAGCCTGGCCTTCGGCTGGGCCGCCTAGTTTTTCTGCGAGAGTTTCGCCTTCACCTTGCCGAACATGGAGCTGAGCCGGTTCTTCTTCTTCCCGGTTGCCGAACTATCGCTTGCCTTGCCGTTGGACGGCGCACCATTATCTGCTGCTTTGGCCGGCGTTGTTGGGTCAGCGGCGGCTTTAGCGCCGTTTGTCTCCTTCACCTCCTCGGTCGGCTTCGATGCCTCGGGAGCGGGAGTCTCCGCGGCAGGAGTCTCCGCGGCAGGAGCATCCACCGGCGCAGCAGCATCCACCGGCGCAGCAGCATCCACGGTCGTAGGAGCATCCACTGGCGCAGCATCATCTACGGGCGCAGCAGCGGCTTCCTTTGTTGTCGTATCCGGCTCAGGTGCCGCAACGGCTGGGGTCTCTGTGGTAGCAGCAGCCACCGATGCAGAGGGTGCTTCCGTTGTGGCCGGAACAGCTAGGGCCGGAGTTTCTTCCGCTTCAGGAGCTTCGGTTGTCGCCGGTGCCTCAGTCGTTGTTGGGGCATCCTTCTCAGCGGAGTCAACAGCTGCCTCTGTGGGCTTGACCTCCTCCAACAACTCAGTTTCAACAGCTTTCTTTTCCTCGACAGCCTCCGTGTTAGCGGCAGCCTCTGGGGAGCTTCCTGATGCCTCAATAGACTCTTTGACTGCGGACGGAACTTCTGACGAGATCTCTTCACGGGGCTCCTCATTGGCTACCGCTTCAACGGGCTTAACCTCCTCCAAGAGTTCAGCTTCTACGGCCTTCTTCTCTTCAACTGCCTCTGTGTTGGCGGCTGCTTCTGGGGATTCGCCAGCAATAGCAATAGATTCCTTGACTTGGGCAGGCGCTTCAGGAGATACCTCTTCCCGCACTTCTTCTTTTTGAGTGGCATCAATCGCGCTCTGAACAGATTCGGGCAACGTCTCCTTAACTGAATCAGGGAGCTGTGCAGCAGCGGAAGTAGCGGTGGCCTGAGCAGCTGAAATAGCATCCTGAGTCTTCTCCACAGCGGCATCTTTGGCAACAACAACAGCAGCGCCGGCAACCGCGGACGCAGCAGCGAAAATAGATGCAACAGCTTCGCTGGGAGTAACAACGTTCTCAGTCTTTTCGGTCCCCTTGCCGGCGGTGCCCTCGGAGGTAGACGGGGCCTCCGTTACCTTCTCGAGCAGCTCCTTCTCAACAGCGGCCTTCTCCTCGACCTCCTCAGGCACTGCACTCGCTTCGGGGCTGGAATTGGCCTTCTCTTGGCTTTCCTTGACAATTTCGGGCACCTTGGGCTCGATGGGCGCATCAGCAGCCAGGGCAGCAGTGGTGGACTCTGGAGCAACTGAAGATATGGTGACAGGAAGACCCCCTGTATCAAGTTAGTACGCGAAAATATCACATGCGATAGCAAACTGATAGCGATTGTTTTAGGCACGTACCTGGGAGCGTGTCACTCTTCTCGTAGGATTCCGGGTCTAGTGTCACGTTGCTGGTAATGTCCTGGGCAGCGATACTTTCAGGAATTTTCTCTCCAGGGGCAAGCGTGATAGGGTTAACACCGCCCGGCGCGGCGGGGAGCGGATTAACACTGAAGCTGGCTTCGTTACTGGGTTCAGCAGCAGGTGTTTCGGGGAAGGCGCCAGGCAAGTCGGACTCCTCGCCCTTCTCAACCTTCTCGCCCTTCACGCCATTCTCGGTGGTTACCGCAGTCTCTGCCTTCTTTTCTAAGGGAGCATCGGCGGCCAGGGCAGCCGTGGTGGAATCTGGTGCAGCTGAACTCATTATAGCAGTGGTAGCGGGAGCGTCCGCGACAATATGTTGGGGGGTTAGCACGTTATTGTCGTTTCCGCTTTCGTCAGATTCTTTCGGCGCGGTATGATCAGTCACCCATTCACCGTCGACAACAAACTATACGAGAGATCTCAGTCAGTACAGACAAGCAAGATGGCTGGGAGAGAGATTGCAAGTGAGGAGACGGTGCTAGGATCGGGAGGGGCTAAGATGTTTAAGAGGGGGTCGCTAATCAAACTTCCAGGCTAGAGCTTAAAAAGAGGATACAAAGTACACAAGGCCTAGCACATCCTAAGTAATCATACTACGCTCGAGCAAGCACCCGACAAGCAGGGAACGCGTAAGGTCGGTATACATCCATGGCAAACTAATGAGCAAAACAGGCAGGCCGAGGGACCGCCAGGTCTCCGCTCGCACGCCACCCTTCTGGGTTGGGTGCTGGGTGCTGGGTGCTGGGTGCTGGGTGCTGGAATGCATGTATGTATACAGGGCTTGAGGAATGCTAGTGCCGCTATAATATGCTGCTTGCCTGCTGGTGGCCCGCCTTGTCTGAGAACGTCTCTCTGTTGTGTGAGTTCATAGCTTGCCACGTGCCTGCACGGCTATCAGGTATTTTCCGACACTTACACGCGCAGCACTTGCGTAGGCGTGGACTTGCAGGTTTTCCACGATAAATTCTCGATTTGGGTAAATGCACCTCATCCCAATTGACCTATCAGGACCACGGCCCATGCCACTCAGCTGCCCGGCAAATGCCAGCTAGGGGAATTCCATAACCCCAATTGCGTCATAAGCCCTCGGTCCTCGGTGCTATTTGCGCCCCAGGGATGTGTGACTAGGCGACTTGCCTCACAGTGCACGTGCATAGTATATATGTAGACCGATCATTCGGCCGTTGAGGGAAACTGGGGCGGCAACGACGACGGAGCAATCAATGTGCTTGGCTAGGCAACACGAATTGGTACGCTGGAAATAGCGGTGGGCGCTCGGGCGGTCTTGGGTCCTACCTGAGTCTCGAAGACCACCGCCAGCGGCGTCCTGCCCTCCAGGGACACGGACTCGGGTCGTGGTGAACACGATCGGTGTCAAGGGAGACGGTCGCATTGACAGGTGACAAGGAAGAACTCGACGACAGCGACGTAGAAACCATATGTAAAGCGACGAACCTTGTAGAAGATCTTGCTCGAGATGTCGGCTAGGGAGACCTTTTTCTCGAAGCCACCGCCAACCTTTTCCAGCTTCTCAGTTTTCTTCCAGTCGTCGAAAGTACCGGTCACATAGACCTCGGTGGCAGGGTGACTCCTATCGACAGGCGCGACGTTAGCGATATGTTCAATTCTGTCCGCACGGCAATAGATAGTTCGAGTATCACAAGGACCTAGCAAATCGACATCTGGGGCATTGCGAGGGTACGAGGCGCCCTTGCGATCGGTGATCGAAGGTGGTGGGACATGGACATAGGGTGTAAGAGACAAAGAGCGATCAAACTGGCCGTCGATGACCGCCACGATGAATGCGCTCTTCCGCTCTTCCGCTCTTCCGCTCTTCCGCTCAGATCTCTGTATGCTGTCGCCCGTGCCGTCGCGGATCCGTGGTATCTGTGGTGTCTGTGGTGTTGCGACTTACCACTTGAAAACGAAGCTTCCCATAGTAGGTAGTAGGTAGGTATAATAGATGAGGGAAGTATAGTATAACGAATATAGGATATGGAGCAAAGGAGGGCAGGATTCTTTTTCTCTTTTTTTTCCCTCTGCCTTGGGGGCACAAATTTGCAGCGAGCAGGAGATACGTAGGTGTATAATACGCAGGAGAGGGATAGCTAAGGCAACTAAATTGTTAGGTGGATGGAGGGATTGAGAAGGAATCTCGGGTTAGCAGAGCTTGGGGAGAGCTCAGCTACACTAGTGTTCTTTGTGCGTGGCTGGAAGCGCGGAGAACTTGGAAGGTTAGGTAGGTTAACTTTAGGTACTGATAGGCATCATTACAGGGGGCAGGTCCAAGAGACCCAAGAGGTGCCAGGACCGGAGCTTGGGTTGGCAGCAAGCCCACCAGTTCACGCAATCAATCGCCATCACCGATGATAGACGACCTCGGGAGCCTCTGACCCCGCCGCTATACTACGCTGTACTTTGCTACGTTTCCCCACTATGATAGGCTAACTAATCCGAGAGCTAGCAGCCTATAAGTAGGTAGCTGTCTGTACCTATCTAGGTAAAGGTATAGCTTTGCAAAAATTCCGACCATTTCTACTGTATGATTCTTAATACATACGAACAACATACCTTATCCTAGGAGTTAAATTAGTTTCAAGCCAAGGCTTTGCCTTTTCCGAACGCCCCACTATGACTCGCATGGATGCATCACGATCTGTAGATAATGCAATGTATAAACGGCTACATTTCTGCTCCCGCTCCGGCTGTCTCTACCCAGTAAACCACATTGGCTCCGACGACAATATTGAACTGTGTACTCGCGCCATAGTGGACGAAGGCCATACTAACAGTATATATAGGTAGTAAAGCTGCATTTGGAAGC